TGCCTTCTTTGGCTACATATTCAAGCTCATAAAAATAAGGAACAGAATAAATAACAAGGTTATGAAATTTGCTCCAACTGTGGTCAATGAACTTCTGTTCTTTCTTTGTTCTATCTTCTATAGTCTCCAGGCTGGGTTTCTGAAGTTGATATGCTCTAACTTGATAAAAAGTTTCTCAGCCTTTATTTCGAATTCTGTTTCCTTCAACCCTTGTTCCATCTCATCTATGTCTAAGTCATCCCAGTATACAGAGTCTTTATTCTTGAAATCATTATATTCATCGATGAGGTTCTCTATTTCATACTGGTTATGAACTCGGCGGGCTGAGATTTGATCCAAGGATCGAGTGGTAGCCACAGAAATGTGGTGCCAATGAAGAAGTAATGGGAGCAAATCTAAAAACATTTGAAGCTCTGCTTGGGCAATAGGGTTGAGGACATGACCCCGGGTCATAACATCACAAGTCCATCGAAAGTTCTTGAGGGAAACACCATCCTCAAGAACATTGAACGGTAAGTGAGAGAATGCTGCAAGCAGAAGTTGGGCTTACTGTCGCTGATGTTTGGTAGGTGGAGATGGAGGATGATATGAGGGGAAAAACTGGTCTTCAAAGAGAGTAAGTCTCAGTTCCTCCATCCAGTGAAGTTTTTACAAAAAGGAGGCGCATGAGCTTCCATCTCGAAAGAAGGAGGAAATTGAGGGTTGTTAACAATGTCAAGCAAGTTAGAAGAGCAAAGTTTAGCTTTTTGAGCTAAGAATGACGGGTTGTATCCTTGGGCCTCTTCTGGACGAGGGGTGGCTTGAACTATCTTCGTAGGCATGGAAGACGTGTACCATGCTACAAGTAAGTTATCTTCTAAACAGCGTCGGCGGTCAATGGGTACATATGGCTAAACCACTAAACTCCGAGCAAAGGGAGGGAAAGTTAGAGGATCAACGAATTCGACAAAATGATGATTGATTCGTTCCCTTAACTTAGACTCCTTAGGTTCTGGCCAACTTCTCTAACTAGAAGCCCCAAAAGAAGAAGAAGCGACAGCTTCATCCCACGCAGAAGGTTTTGGGTCAGAGGAAGAGCATCCAATATCCATGTTTGTAAAATTCTGGGTTAAGGAATTGTAAATGACAGGTTCATAATACAAAGGTTGATAATTTGCAAAAGCTTCCATGACTTGAATATAAGAAGGTGAGTAAATGTGGCTAATCGATGCATGAAGATTCTTTCGAGGACGAACAGCATTATCAAAAAACTCTTCGTACGCTTGATCGAGATAGGAAAAGGTTTGCTTGGCCATAAGAGCTGAACTAGTCTTTTCGAATGCTGAGATAGTAGAAGTGTTTAAGGGTTAGAAGAGAATTTAATGCAAATGTTTCATTAAGGAATGACGGTTGCATTTCTGAAAAATGCAGAGCCTATGCACATTCTAAGACGTAGGTAAAATACCTTGCTTCACTAATATCACCAAGTATTGGGTATATTAGTGCGAGGGGTAACGTTGGTTACATATTTTATACAAGCCAATCACAGTTCGACACGTGGCAGAATAAGGGCAATATGGGAAGACAATTCAAATTTTCAATCATAATCACACACGTGGCAGTCAGCATTGGTTTGTTATAGATCTGCGTAACACTGAATCAGCAAAGAGATGCAAGATGACGTGGCCTTAACGGTTACTCACATATTTAAATTCAAAATCAAGAGGGAAGCCTAACTGCATATGACATAGTGGAGCTAACTGCAAGGAAGCATAATCAGTGATGATGGAGAGATGGTTCAACGGTTAGAAGTCCATTTCATGGTTGTCATTAAGAAGTATGAATAGCAAAGAAGGCTTGGAAAAACGCCCCAGACTCAGATCCAAAAAATCAGTTTTATCTACTTTATTTTTCCTTTTAGTTTTTATATTTCTTGTTCTTTATATTTCCGTACTTCAAATTCCTGCACTATATTTCGTTCATAGGAGTAGTTTTCAAGTAGCTTGTTGCTGTAAACCTCTACGAGACTGATTGGATCTTTGTAAGTCTTTCATTTTGCTTAATGAAATACTATAATTGTTTTTCATTTAATCATTGTTTGCTTAATTCTCCTAAACAAAGCCACCAGTAAAAGTCCATTTCATTGAGACTGAAAGAATTAAAATACAATCGTCTGATAATTGGTTAGCAATTAATATTCTGTAAGGATTGATTGATCCTTACTGGCACGCTCATAATTACAAAAATAACCTTCGAAAGCCAAAAAGCCAACAGAAGTGGGTTGGTTTTTTAGTTTTTTTGGCTATTTTAGCTTGGGCTAAAAAGCTTGATTTGGGAAGAGCTTTTTGGTTTTTTACCTTTTTTTACTTTTTTTGTGAGGGAAGAGTGTAATGATTATGGGTTGGACATGATGTTTTGTTTGTTGTGGCTAAAATAGCTTATTTTATATTTTGTAGCTAAAATAGCAAAAAAAGCCCATAAATCATATTCCCAAATGGAGCCTATATATGTTTTTTTGTGTTTGGATTCTTAAGTACACATAGCTTCCGTTTGGGAAGTGGGTTGACTTTTTGGCTTTTTTAGTCTGAGCTAAAAAGCTTGGTTTGAGAATAACTTTTTGGCTTTTTGGCTTTTTTGGCTGTTTTCGTGAGAGAAGAATGTAATGATTATAGGTTAGATGTGATGTTTTGTTTGTTGTGGCTAAAATAGCTTGGCAACAAATGAAAGTCGGCATACTTGTTTTGCATGCATCAATTAGTGTATATATTAGTATATCAATTAATATTATATTGACTATATTTATTATACAAGTTACAAATATTTAAAATTATATAAATAATATCACATCATCTATTAATACATTAACGTGTACATTAATTGATACATATAACAGTATTATTTGCCAAAAGCAACGTAAATTGGCATACGGACGTAGACTTGACTAGTTTGAAGATATTCACGAAACTACGTTGTTTCGGAGGCACAGCACTGTCCAATTCCACACAACACCCACCCCGCGGCCTGCCTCCCTCTTTGAACATTGTGTGATAAGGAGGTAATATTAGAATATAGGCGAATTAAATTGTATTACTTTAGTTTTTAACTTTACAATTATAATATATTTGATTTTAAATTTTATTTTAAATAATATTTTAAAAATAAAATTGTTATATAATTTATTTTGTATTGATTAATTTGTACGTTGTTTAAAATTTAATGACCTTTTTTGAATGAATAATATTGAAACTTTCTTAGTTATAAAGTTCTGTTTAGTTTAGTTTAGTTTTTAGAATATATTTTGAATTTTTTTTCTAATAAGTTAAAAATTAAATTGGTGAAAAAAATAAAAAAATACCATTTTTATATAATTTTATGTTTTGGAATGGTATAAATAAAATTTTTAAATATTTTTTATATATATTTTTTCGTTAAATTAGTTTTTATTTTTTTTAAAGTCAAATATGGTGATAACTTTAATATAATTATTAAACCAATCCATTAAATAAAAAATTCAAAATTAAAAACATTTCATACATTAAACATATCAATTACACATTAAGAGCTTAATAACTATCCATTACATGATAACAATAATAAATATATATTTTAACAATAAATATAACCATATATTACACGATAACATCAAAAAATAACAACAAAAATAGCCACTTATTACATAATCATCATCAAAACACATATCTAAAAATATAAAATTTTAAAAATTACACAAAAAATTGACATTTATTTTTGTCAAACTAGTTTATATTTAATCAAATTAACGATTTTGTCCTTAAAATGGAGCAATAGTGTATTCAATTGTCCTTATTTAAAACGAGTTTTAAAATTTATAATCAAATGTATTACAATTGAAAAATTATAAACCAAAGTGACACAAATTTCAAGCTACAGAAACTGTTAGTGTGATTTGCCAAAAAATATAAATTAAATTATGAACACTTAATTATTTTAATTAAAAAATGATGAATCAATATAAAATTTGAGCAACAATTTGAAAATGAAACGTGCAAGTTATTTATAAAAACTTAAGGGTAAATTACACTTAGTCATCTTTATATTTGGCCATTTTTCATTTTAACCCTTAATTTCTTTTTTTTTTGGGTCTACTTTAACCCTTTATATCTTCATTTTTTTTTTCTCCTTCTAATTTACTCGTAAATCAAATTTATGTTCAAAATTATACCCAAAAAAAAAAAAAAATGATTAGTTGACAGTCACATGTCATAAATTTTGTATTATATATAATTTACACACCTGACACAATCCAAATTTTAATATAAGAATATATTTTTATGTATAATTTTAAACGTAAACTAGATTTATAATAAAATGGGGAAAAAGTAAAATATGAAAGCTTAAAGTGAGAAAAAAAAAATTAAAGACTAATGAGAAAATAATGAAAGATAGAAGGGACAAATTATAATTTATCTAAAATTAAAATAAATAAATAAATTTGCATGAAAAAAATCTTTAAGAGCCAAAGTGTAATTTAATCCAAAAAAAAAAAAAGAGTTTGATAATTGTAATAAAATAAACCGTGAGTTTTTAATTTTATCATTTTAAAATTTAATTTTTGATTTATTTTCAATTTAAATTACTAGTCCATTTTTGTTAAATAAAATCGATGAAAAAATAATATCGTAGTCATTAAATTTAATGTAAGTGTATATAAAATGTATAAAATATAATTTTTTGTTAAATTTAATAATTAAAATATTATTTTTTGTCATTTTATTTAACTAAAATAGGTAGATAGTATATATGAAAATTAAATAAAAAATAAGGTTTAAATTAATAAAATGAAAATTTAAAGATTTTTTTTATTATAAGGTCAAATTCTTGAGATTTTTATTATTAATTTTTTAAAAATGAAAATTAAAATAAGTAGATAAATGTTTTTTTTTTGAACAAAAATAAATAAAGTTCTACCCCAAATAAACCGATCCGTAAAAGCGAATCCAAACCCTCGGAGCGCAAAAACCCTTACCCGAGAGAGAGAGAGAATGGCGAACGCAGATGTAGAAGCAGTGGACTTCGAGCCGAAGGACGACGATCTCATGGACAAGGACGGCATTGTTGATGTCGACGCTGCTTCGCCTAGGGCTCCTCTCCCAAAGCTTAAGTTCGCCATCACCGGCGGCTTCTCCGCCTTCGCCGCCGCCACTGCTCCCAAGAAGACCAAAGGCCGTGGTTTCCAAGAAGAGTCTGATGCGGATCACAACAACCGCTTGGTAGGTCGCTTCGACTCTCTCAACTCCGATGGCGGCCCCGGTCTTGAACGATGTCTATTCTCTCTCCCCCTCTCTCTGTAGTTTAGTTTCTGCTTTTTTGGTTTAATTTTATTAATGTAATATCCATATATATATATATATGGAGTAACTTCATTTGTGATATTATGTGATCGGTGAATTCTAGAAAATTTTATAGAATAACTATTCATGTTTAGATGAATGTGTGGTAAGACTGGAAAAATATAGAATTAGAAATGTACATATTGGGAAAATGGTAGAAATCAAATAATAAGTTGAGAGAGAATATGTTTAGATGGTTTTAGATGGTTCAGTCATGTATAATGAACACCTGCAACTATAAGGAAAATGTTAGGATCAAACACATCCAGAAAATTATCTTACACACACACAGAACAGGATATTTACGTGGTTTGGCCCAATGCCTACGTCCACGGAGCAGAAAAGAAGATTTCACTAAAATGGAGCAAAATACAAAAACAGAGTAGGAGATAAAACTCTCACTCAACTTACAACTCTCTCTTTTTCAATTTTCTGATACAATTCATCCTCTCCCTCCCATCTGTATTTATACACAAAGATGAGAAAGAGAGAGAGAGGGATACCAACCGATCAAAAATTTCTACCCTCTTTAATGGTGAATGGTGAAAATCAACAAAAAACAACAATGTGAAGAGAAGGGAGAGCTGATCTTCCAGATGCCCAGCTCAGACCTCCTTCTCTGGAGGTAGAAGTCTTCCTATACCATCTTCTTTGGCTCTCTCTTTTGCATGGTTTTACATGCATGTGGGTTGGAGCAGCAGAAAAATGATATGATCATTGTAAATAGAGATGTTACGTGATGTGGTAGTGAATAAAATATAAATTTATACAATTTACTTGATTATGTAGCCCTTGATAGACCTTACTAGCTAAAAAAGATTCAGGTAGCTGACCCATTGTAGACACCCCATTTTTGACCGACCTTAAGACTCAGACGTCATCGATTGAGCGCTTGGTGCTAGTGCATGTTACGCTCGTTTTGAGGTTCCGGAGTTTTGGCTGAGAGTCTTGCCTCCAGGCCTCTGAACTCTTTGTGCTTTGGCTCGGTTTGTGGACCGAATCTTGTTTTCTTTTTCCGGAGGGAGGGAGAGGTCGGTCGCGCGCTTTGTCTCGGGACAGCTTAACGTTCTCCGTTTGGCGTGGTTTTTGAACCACACCTTGTTGCCTCTGCCTAGAGGAACACTGTGGTCCGGGAGACCACTTTTGTGGTCGTATACCACTTTTGATGCCCATAGACTAGTTTTCAATGCTTTCGGCCGCGTGCTTTGCCTCCCGATCTCTCGTCTTGCATCCGTTTTGGTTTGTTTTCAATACAAACCTTGTTTTCCTTGTTTGAAAGGTGGTACAAGGGTGGGAGACCAGTTTTTCCCCTTGGAGACCACTTTTCCTCCTGCCAGCCAGTTTTCTGGTCGGATAACTGGCTTTCTTGGTCTTTGGGCCACCTTTTCTGGTCGGCCACTATACCACCACCTTGCTTTCAGTGTGTAGACTTCTCTCACCTATGGCCAACCAATTTTTGTTTTAGGAGACCACTTGAAGTGGTCGGCCGACCACTTTAAGTAGCTGGGTGGTCGGCTGCTTTTTGGCACTTTTTTGGAGATATTTTTCTCCAGTTGACACAGCTGGAGGGCACCGAAGCCATCCTCCATACACGTGTATGGAGGGATGGCCTTGAAGCTTAGCTTCCTTATGAAGCTTTAGCTTTTGGTTCTCTATAAGAGAGAACCCCATCCTCCCTCCTCTAGGTTCAAAAAAAATTGCCTTGAGAGTTATAGATACACCCTTGTATCTATCTTGCCCTTTACTTCAGTTGACACAGCTGGAGGGCACCGAAGCCATCCTCCATACACGTGTATGGAGGGATGGCCTTGAAGCTTAGCTTCCTTATGAAGCTTTAGCTTTTGGTTCTCTATAAGAGAGAACCCCATCCTCCCTCCTCTAGGTTCAGAAAAAATTTCCTTGAGAGTTATAGATACACCCTTGTATCTATCTTGCCCTTTACTTTATTTTTGTGCTTCAAAAGTGTAGTTTTGTCTTACTTTAACACACAAACACACACTCAAACACCATCCCTTAGTTTCTGAGGTACTTAGGAGTTGTTTTTGGTGTTCTTGGGTTGGTTTGAGTTTGAAAAACCTGCTGGAGTTGCAGCCTTGAAGAGGGTCATCAAGGGTGAGTTTCTAACCTTTAAAACCCCCATTTTTGCTTAAGCTTTTAGCCCAACTTACATGTTGTTTTAAGCTTAACTCTTAATTGGAAAAAGTTTTATTTTTGCATGCTTAAAAAGTTTGTTTAAGGTCACTTTTTCATTGGGGGTGATCTCCCTCCTCTTAGGCCTTGTTAGGCCTCGTTTTTAGCCATCCCTTTGGGCTCTTGTTGTAACCTTTGCGTGATCTTTCTACCACTAAAATCCAGAGGATTTTCAATGGTGGAAAGGTGGTTTAAATTAATAAAATGAAATTTTAGTTTTTGTGTTGATATTTACAGAGAAGTTTTAAAATCCACATAATAGTCCTAATGTGGGTGAATTTTTACAGCCATTGAAGGATGGATTATTCTCGTCACTGGAGTTCATGAAGAGGCACAAGAAGATGATCTACAGAATGCATTTGGCGAATTTGGGGAGATTAGGAATTTGCATTTGAATCTTGATCGTCGAACTAAATTTGTTAAGGTTAGACAGTGGAGAATGGGTAATAAGAATAAAGTTATGCATTCATTCTCACATAATTATGTAATGTATGGATGTGATATTGTAGTTGATAGTTATTGATGTAAAATGGTATTTTTATAATTTGTATCATTGTTATATATCTTTTTTGGGTTTTAGTGCTATCTCTCTTAAAAGGGGTTCTTTTGTTTTTCAATTCTAGAGATTGGAAAGTTGTAATTTTGTTTTCATTATTTTTTTTTTTTTAAATTTGGAGGACTACTTTCTACGTAGAACTTCTTCGTAAGCCTCTTCTTTTATTTTCAATAAAATTTTATTGTTGCTGATAAGAAAGAAGTATCCTTTCTTGAAACATTTCATGATTTGGTTTTATGCTGAAGTGGGCTACCTTTGTTCTTTGATGCTTCAGCATTTTTCGATTACTCCTAAAAGCAATTCCTTATAAACTAAAAGTTGTATGTTAGCCAGGCCTATTATCCATTTAAATATCCTATTTTATTCATTCACATCTGTTCTTTAAATTTAAGATTAGTTTACTATTTCCTTATTTGCAAGTAGCACCTATGTTAACTTGTTAATTATTCGTAGTTGTTTTAGTTGATACTGTTGTACAAAATTGAAAATTCAGACTTCATCCTTGGTGCATGACCTAGTCACATGTATATATTCGAAAATAGTACACGTATGAATGCATGTTCGACATGTCGCTCTGTGCATCTGATGAGTATCAGATTGTCAATATTATGTCGGACATGGGCATGGCATCATAATAGGAAGGAGGTGTGTTGTGCTCTGTAGTCAAGAAGTTCAAATGACATGAGAGTTTGAGACGCCTTTTGTATTACTTGGATTCCTTTGAATTTGTGAAGTACCATTTGACACTCGATTTAGGATATGAGATTTGTGTGATTGTGTCCTACATGTTTGGTTAGACATGTATCCAAGAAATACGCTCAAGTAATAGTTTAGTATAAATTTATGCATAAGACCCCTGTTCTATGTATAAAAAGTTCCATATTCATTTTGTAAACATCATGTAACATATTCTTGAACATGTCCGCAATTGACACCCGTACTCGAATCCATGTAAATGCGATGCGGTTATTTGAACTTTGAAAATTTGACACATTTGTATATTGGTTAGGAAAAGATGATGGAAAGGACGTTGTATCTTGTGCCATGCTTGTTTTAAAAGTTAATGCTATCAAAACACGGCTAGTTATCTAATACTGCTAGTGTAGACATATTTTGATCAATAGTTCCCATGTGAAACATATTTAGTAGTCGAGGAACTCATGGGTGAGAGCTATCTTTTTGAAGACTGCTGATTTGCAAAAGTTGAATGTTGTTTGGTATAATTTTATTATGTGTTTCAATTTTTTTGGCTGCTCCCTTGTATTTTGCAGTACAAGTTGCTATGGGGCTTTACTCATGTGGTAAAGGGGTGTTTTGGTAGTATGATAGGTTGTGGGTTTGAAGTCTGCCTACCCAAAACTTGAATTTTTCTAAATAAAATTAAAAATCAGTAAGTAAGGTTTGTGCTAAATTGTTGTTTTACTGAATTGCTCAACATGCAATATTGTTCAACAAGGGTATGCACTAATTGAATATGAGAACTTTGAAGAATCACAGAAAGCCATAAATGAAATGGATGGAACTGAATTGCTCACTCAAACCATCAACGTTGATTGGGCATTCAACAAGGGGCCCTTTAAAAGGAGGAATATGAGGAGAAGATATGTTCCTTGCTAAATCTTTGTGCTTATCAATATAATGACTTGAAATATATGATGGAAAATCTCTGTGAATCAATGGTTGGATTCTCAGGATAACGAATACAGAGAAGGGGAAAAACAATTTTATTTTTAGGTTTGACTTGTATTACTGGGAATGAGGTGGTACAGGGAAGCACTTGTACATATCCTCTCCTGTTAAATGGATAGTATAAATTATTCTTTCACAGCCTATTTGTTTAGTGGATTTGAGCATGCATAAGAAAACAACAATTCACACACATTTCCCTTGTCTGAGATTCATGGGATATGTGGTTCTACGTAGCACAAACACAGATACAGGTTACATATACTATTTGACATTGAGACACTAACATGGCAAATCCTAAAAGGTATTATGAGGACCATTAATATAGATATAAAGTTATATAGGTACATACCTTTTATTATTATAGAATTCCGTATCAAGAATTTCATATTGTGTGCATATACTTTTGTCATTGTGAGGGCGCTAACGGTTTTGATGTTTGTTGTGGGTAATGACTTGTATTGGGACAAAGTTGATAATTCTATCCCAGATTTTAGTAGGTAATTTGTTTTTACCACATCATATCAACAAAAAACCAAACATATACTAATTATTTCATGTTGAAACAAACACGTATTAGAAAGAGCATAATTAGATGCCATAGGGTGCTTTGCTATTGTCACATGAAACTCATAGAGAGAAATAAGAGACAGCAAATAGCAATACTTGAATCTTTTTTGTCACTGTGACTTCATTTGATTCAGTTCTCTAGTGAGAGCCCTTTATAACATGAAATCTGATAGCTGTAAAATGATTGAAATGTCACTAAATATAGCGATCCCGATTTTTCCTCCATTAATTATAGTATTCCGGACTTAGGTTCCGTGGTGTTAGTGGTTGTTATATCTTGTTTCCGTCCTTCCAATCTTTGAATATGAGTTTTAGGATGCGTTGGGCAGGTTTGTTACAGGTTGGTGGTGAGTTTAAACCAAGTGTTGCTGTCCAGAATTTTGGATCTTCGCTCGAGCAAGGCTTTTGTCGCTCGAGCGAGCTCTTTGTTTTAGTTCCTTCGCTCGAGCCAGGGTTCCTTCGCTCGAGCCAGAGTGGGGTGTTGTGTCTGGTGGCTCAAGCGAGAAGTCTTGCGCTCGAGCTTGCGTCTGCGTCCAGTTTTTGGACCTGAGAGTTGCATTTCTTCGCTCGAGCGATATTTCCTTCGCTCGAGCGTGCAAGGACTATGTTTTGGGTTTTTTCGCTCGAGCGTGCTTCTGGGTTGCAGACCTGAAGCTTCGAATTGTTGACTCAAGCGAGGCTTTCTACGCTCGAGCGAGGTTTCTTTGTGTCTGGTCGCTCGAGCGACCACTCCTTCGCTCGAACGAGCTTTGAATATATCAGATCGCAGCAGCTTCTTTTTCATCACTTTTCTTCATCTCTTTCTCTAAAAACCCTAGAACGACTGCTCTTTCTTTCTCTACATACCTTCTCTCTAAAAATCCACCTAGTTTTAGTGGTCTCCTACCCTAGTCCTTTTGTAAAAAGCGTTTCCGTCCTTCCAATTTTTGAATATGAGTTTTAGGATGCGTTGGGCAGGTTTGTTACAGGTTGGTGGTGAGTTTAAACCAAGTGTTGCTGCTCAGAATTTTGGATCTTCGCTCGAGCAAGGCTTTTGTCGCTCGAGCGAGCTCTTTGTTTTAGTTCCTTCGCTCGAGCCAGGGTTCCTTCGCTCGAGCCAGAGTGGGGTGTTGTGTCTGGTGGCTCAAGCGAGAAGTCTTGCGCTCGAGCTTGCGTCTGCGTCCAGTTTTTGGACCTGAGAGTTGCATTTCTTCGCTCGAGCGATATTTCCTTCGCTCGAGCGTGCAAGGACTATGTTTTGGGTTTTTTCGCTCGAGCGTGCTTCTGGGTTGCAGACCTGAAGCTTCGAATTGTTGACTCAAGCGAGGCTTTCTACGCTCGAGCGAGGTTTCTTTGTGTCTGGTCGCTCGAGCGACCACTCCTTCGCTCGAACGAGCTTTGAATATATCAGATCGCAGCAGCTTCTTTTTCATCACTTTTCTTCATCTCTTTCTCTAAAAACCCTAGAACGACTGCTCTTTCTTTCTCTACATACCTTCTCTCTAAAAATCCACCTAGTTTTAGTGGTCTCCTACCCTAGTCCTTTTGTAAAAAGCGTGGAGCTTGGTGTGGGCTTTGTTTCAATCAGAAAAAGTTGGTGTTTGGAGCACTTCGGGTTTTCACCTTCTTCTCCTTTTGGTCTCTTCATTTGAGGTGGGGATAACCTACTCCATTCTATGAGTTTTGACATAAATTTTAGTCATTTTGGTTAGATGGTGTTGTTGGTTAATTTTGGAAAAGTTTGGGTTTGGTTTGTAATTTGTAAAAGAGGGGTTTTGTGTTTTAAAGCTCCATGTGTACATAAGGCCTTGGGAATTTGAATTTGGGAGTTAAATTGGTGGAATTTGGTCTTAGGATCAACATTTGAAATAGGAGGAAAATGCCCTAATTATTGTAATAAATTAATTTGTATAATTAATTTGGAGAAATGCGAAATTGAGTTGAGATCCATGAAATTGAGAAATTATAGGATTGAATTGTGTAGTTGGATTAATTTATCACTCACCTATGAAAATGTTGAGATTATATCTGTTTGATGCATTTATTATTTATTTAGAAATAACTGCTTTGGGCTATCGGTGGAGGATAGTCTTGATTGTTGTAGACACTGTATGTTAATTAGGGAAAAATGAAACTAATCAAACGTATTATGTCATTGAATATGACGATTGGATTAAAACATCAAATATGTGTATTGATTGATTATTGCATATGACAAGTGTTTTAATACATTGTAGGCGCATATTGTTTGGGAGGAGATAGGGGATGTACTCCATGGTTTGAGAGGAGATAGGGGATGGACTCCACTGATACAACAAATCTGTGTATCACTTGAAATATGGAAGTGTTTTAATATGAGTTATATTCTCATGTGAATTGTGAAGTATGGAAGTGTTTTAATATGAGTTATATTCTCTTGTGAATTGTGAAGTATGGAAGTGTTTCAATATGTGTTATAGTCTCATTGAATTGTTTGGCCAGGTTCTGAGCCATAATTATAACTTGAAAACTTGATAAGTAAAGGAAAGTGAAATGAAACATGGACTTTTTGTCATGGAAATGAATTGTGTTACAAGTGGTTTTATTAGTGTTAGCCATTTATCAAATGCTAATGTTTTAGTTAATTTTCATACTTGGTTTAGTATATCTCTACTGGGCATTGGCTCACCCTATATGGGACATCATTTTCAAGTTCAGATGACATGCCACCTCCAAGGACATAGCTTGGAAGGTTTTGAGAGTTGAAGACTCTTTTAGTTGTTTTGTTATTTTGGTATTACATGTAAATTCAAGCCGAGGGCTTAATGTGTATGAGTTAGTACTCTCATTTTGTAACCAAGTGTTGGCTTGGAAAGTTGTAAGCCCATAGGGCATTTACTTTTGTTGTCAACATGTAATACTTTTGTAATAAATACTCTGATAAATAGAAATATCCTCTGTTCTCTTATGTCTATGCATGTCAAGAATGTGGGTTTATATGTATTATTTTGAGGGCATTACACTAAAGCTGTAATATCAGTGTGTATTGGTGTACTAATTTTCACTTGCAGATTCGTTTTTATAATCTTATATTTTTTATTGGTTTGAGTCCTTCCATCCAGACATAAAGCACCAACCTTTTTTTGTCTGTATTATTGCAGATCACCACGTGGACATCCTTCAAGAAGTCCTAGGAGAAGATTCTAATCATGCAAGGATTTGTGGATTTATGTTGGAATGAGAAACAAGATGTTTGGGCAAGTTTTTTTTTTGGGGTAATTTGACTTGTAACTGATTGGGTGAATGATTATTATTCTGTTTGCTGATGTTCCCTTCTGTGGCCTCTTTGGTGGATGTTTTTTAGGATGTTTCTTCTAAATCATGTAATATGTTGCAATATTGGGTTGGTGGTCATGGTTGTTCCTTGGACTAGCTTATTGCTCTGCACTTGGACAATCGACCTTTGATACCATTTTCCAAGATCATCTTGCACATTGATTGTGAGAAGGGTGTGCTTGATTTTGGTTATGCTTTCTTTTAATGAAGACTTGAGATGCATCATAGTATAATATTTTTGTTGGTTAAGTTTGTTTCTATTTAAAAGTTTTCAAAATCAAAATAAAACATAAATTTTTATCAATCTTGAATGGTTAGTTCAATTTCATCGGTTTTTCCTAGACTTCTATACACGGTAAACATAATATTTTTGTGAGGAGAGAATAGTTGCTCGTTAATTAGAAATAATTATTTTATAATCTCAGTAATTCTACATATGTACACAACTAAACATATAAAACATTTTGCCCAATCGATCAAGAAATATATTGTTTGACACAAATTACTTCACTTGTACATTATTATTACTGTAATTTAATATATATAAAATATTATAATAAAATTTAATAAATCATAAACATCGTGATGATATTTTTATATCTCATTTATGTGATTGATTTTATAATTGATCGACTGTACATATTGATTTTTGCTTAATTTAGGTTTTTAATAACTCCATTAGAACTGTGCATCTTTTAAGCGATTTAGGAATTTGTAAATGAAAAGAGAAAATGTGTAAAATTATATAAAATTTAGGTATATTTTATTTACATTTCATCTATCGATTTTCTTTTCTTTTTCAAATTTTCTAACTAAACACAAACTTTAGAATTTTTTTTTTTAAAAAAAAAAAGTATATGAAACTATATAAAATGTAGATATATTTTATTTATATTTCACCTATCAATTTTATTTTCTTATTCAAATCTCTTTTTCAATCCCACCGCCAAAACCAAACACAATAATACAACTTGATGGCATGGGTTGAACCGATTTTCTTTTTCAAATCTGTTTTTCAATCCCACCGCCAAAACCAAACACAATAATACAGCTTGGTGGGATGGGTTGAACCGATCGGCACGCCTGGCGGTTTTAAAAGCCAACCCGGGCTCAAAGCGACTCGACAATTCATTTCAAGTCACACACTCACACACACCTAATCACTTGGCGATTATTATGTTTGGATTGAGTGATATGGAGAAAAAATAAAATAAATGAAGAGATAAGTATTTCTTTTATTTGTCTGAATAACTTAAGTAGAAATAATTGGATAGAAATGAAGAGAAACGAAGAGAAACTCATTTATCTTATAACCCTCATTTTCAATCTTCCCAAAAGTGGAGAGATTAGGAAAGAAAAAAAACTAATAAATTCTTATATTTTCATAACATTAATTTTGTACAAATAAAAATAAAAGAAATAAAATGATTGACACCCATGTCCGCAAAATATAAAAATATTATATTGATAATATAACATAAAATAATTTTTTTTTCTTATAAAATCTAATCAAACAAGAAATAAAAAAATTACAATCATTTCTTTTTTTTAAATTTGCTACTTATCCAAATAAAAAATTTTATTTTCTGTTCTCTTATTCATTTCATTTTTCTCCTAGTTCCCAAACTGTGTAAACCTAATTCGCTTACACTCTCTCAAATCAGATTAGCGATAGAGACAGCGACTCTCGCCTTCCCTTACCCTTCTCCCTGCTCACGCCGCCGATGGCCTTACCTCTCGCTGCCGGTTTATAAGGCCATATATATACATATATATTGTCATTGGGGTTAGGGTTCTCTCATTCCCTCACCTCTCACCTTCAGTCGTTCGGTTTCAAGGCCTCACTTCTCACTCCGTTCGAAATTCGTAAACGACACAGCTTATCGGACGAATTTTCTCCGGCACCAGGTACTGCAATCTCTTCCTACTTCGCCACTTCCCACCACCACCTCCTCTGAGTTAGTGAGTCCCTGACCCAACCCGCCCTCTCTAATATTTTGAATTTTTGTGTTCTTTCCTTTAAACTTTGATTAAACGTATCAGTAATGACAGAGTTGTAAATTTGATTCAATTTGGTACGAGTTTGAATAAAGGAGGGCGATTTTTAGCCAAATTTATAAATTTGATATATAGGGTTTGAGTCGAGGATTAGAGATACCATGTAGAACTATTTGGAAATTGTTTGTTTACATTTGTATTGGATGCATGCTTGCTTGCATTGTATATTGTTGTACGTATATGTTAAATATGTTTGGTTTGGTTTGGGGGTTACTTTTTGTAGAACTAAAAATGGAGCAGAACTGGCTAATACCTTGAGGATAACTGTTAATGAGAAGAAATTCATCGAGACTGCTTTACTATCGGGCTACCTTTGTTCTTTGATGCTTCAGTATTTTTCGATTACTCCTAAAAGCAATTCCTTAGGCCTATTGTCCATTTAAATATCCTATTTTATTCATTCACATCTGTTCTTTAAATTTAAGATTAGTTTACTATTCCCTTATTTGCAAATAGCAACTATGTTAACTTGTTAATTATTCGTAGTTGTTTTAGTTGATACTGTTGTACAAAATTGAAAATTCAAACTTCATCCTTGGTGCATGACCCAGTCACATGTAAATATTCGAAAATAGTACACGCATGAATGCATGTTCGACATGTTGCTCTGTGCATCTGATGGGTATCAGATTGTCAATATTATGTCGGACATGGACATGGCATCATAATAGAAAGGAGGTGTGTTTGTGCTCTGTAGTCAAGAAGTTCAAATGACATGAGAGTTTGAGACGCCTTTTGTATTACTTGGATTCCTTTGAATTTGTGAAGTACCATTTGACACTCGATTTAGGATATGAGATTTGTGTGATTGTGTCCTACATGTTTGGTTAGACATGTATCCAAGAAATACGCTCAAGTAATAGTTTTGTATAAATTTATGCATAAGACCCCTGTTCTATGTATAAAAAGTTCCATATTCATTTTGTAAACATCATGTAACATATTCTTGACACATGTCCGCAATTGACACCCGTACTCGAATCCATGTAAATGCGATGCAGTTATTTGAACTTTGAAAATTTGACACATTTGTATATTGGTTGGGAAAAGATGATGGAAAGGACGTTGTATCTTGTGCCATGCTTGTTTTAAAAGTTAATGCTATCAAAACACGGCTAGTTATCTACTACTACTAGTGTAGACATATTTTGATCAATAGTTCCCATGTGAAACATATTTAGTAGTCGAGGAACTCATGGATGAGAGATAACTTTCATCTTTTTGAAGACTTCTGATTTGCAAAAGTTGAATGTTGTTTGGTATAATTTTATGATGTGTTTCAATTTTTTTGGCTGCTCCCTTGTATTTTGCAGTACAAGTTGCTATGGGGCTTTACTCATGTGGTAAAGGGGTGTTTTGGTAGTATGATAGGTTGTGGGTTTGAAGTCTGCCTACCCAAAACTTGAATTTTTCTAAATAAAATTAAAAATCAGTAAGTAAGGTTTGTGCTAAATTGTTGTTTACTGAATTGCTCACCATGTAATATTGTTCTACAGGGGTATGCACTAATTGAATATGAGAACTTTGAAGAATCACAGAAAGCCATAAATGAAATGGATGGAACTGAATTGCTCACTCAAACCATCAACGTTGATTGGGCATTCAGCAAGGAGCCCTTTAAAAGGAGGAATATGAGGAGAAGGTATGTTCCTTGCTAAATCTTTGTGCTTATCAATATAAGTACTTGAAATCTATGATGGAAAATCTTTGTGAATCCATGGTTGGATTCTCAGGACAATGAATACAAAGAAGGGGGAAAAACAATTTTATTTTTAGGTTTGACTTGTATTACTGGAAATGAGGCGGGACAGGGAAGCACTTGTACATATCCTCTCCTATTGAATGGATAGAATAAATTATTCTTTCACAGCCTATTTGTTTAGTGGATTTGAGCATGCATAAGAAAGCAACAATTCACACACATTTCCCTTGTCTGAGATTCATGGGATATGTGGTTCTATGTAGCACAAACGCAGATACAGGTTACATATACTACTTGACATTGAGACACTAACATGGCAAATCCTAAAAGGTATTATGAGGACCATTAATATAGATATAAATTTATATAGGTACATACCTTTTATTATTATAGAATTCCGTATCAAGAATTTCATATTGTGTGCATATACTTTTGTCATTAACGGTTTTGATGTTCGTTATGGGTAATGACTTGTATTGGGACAAAGTTGGTAATTCTATCCCAGATTTTAGTAGGTAATTTGTTTTTACCACATCATATCAACAAAAAACCAAACATATACTAATTATTTCATGTTGAAACAAGCAGGTATTAGAAAGAGCATAATTAGATGGGCTGCTTTGCTATTGTCACATGAAACTCATAGAGAGAAATAAGAGACAGCAAATAGCAATACTTAAATCTTTTTTGTGACTGTGACTTCATTTGATTCATTTCTCTAGTGAGAGCCCTTTATGACATGAAATCTGATAGCTGTAAAATGATTGAAACGTCACTAGAGCTGTAATATCAATGTGTATTGGTGTACTAATTGTCACTTGCAGATTCATTTTTATAATCTTATATTTTTTATTGGTTTGAGTCCTTCCATCTAGACATAAAGCACCAACCTTTTTTTGTCTGTATTATTGCAGATCACCACGTGGACACTGTTCAAGAAGTCCTAGGAGAATATTCTAATCATGCAAGGATTTGTGGATTTATGTTGGAATGAGAAACAAGATGTTTGGGCAAGTTTTTTTTGGGTAATTTGACTTGTAACTGATTGGGTGAATGATTATTATTCTGTTTGCTGAGGTTTCCTTCTGTGGCCTCTTTGGCGAATGTTTTTTAGGATTTTTCTTCTAAATCATGTAATATGTTGCAATATTGGGTTGGTATTCATGGTTGTTTCTTGGACTAGCTTATTGCTCTGTACTTGGACAATCGACCTTTGATACCATTTTCCAGGATCATCTTGCATATTGATTGTGAGAAGGGTGTGCTTGATTTTGGTTGTGCTTTCTTTTAATGAAGACTTGAGATGCATCATAGTATAATAGTTTTGTTGGTTAAGTTTGTTTCTATGTAAAAGTTTTCAAAATCAAAATAAAACATAAATTTTTTATCAATCTTGAATGGTTGGTTCAATTTCATCGATTTTTCCTAGACTTCTATACACAGTAAACATAATATTTTTGTGATGAGAGAATAGTTGTTCGTTAATTAGAAATAATTATTTTATAATCTCAGTAATTCTATACATGTACACAAAATCAATTACAAAACTAAACATGTAAAATCGATCAAGAAATATGTAGTTGGACACAAATTACTTCACTTGTACGTTATTATTATTATAATTTAATTTATATAAAATATTATAATAAAATTTAATAAATTATAAACATCGTGATGATATTTTTATATCTCATTTATGTGATTGATTTTATAATTGATTGGGTGTCCACATTGATTTTTGCATAATTTAGGTTTTTAATAACTCCATTAGAACTGTGCATCTTTTACGCGATTTATGAATTTGTAAACAAAAAGAGAAAAGTGTGTAAAATTATATAAAATTTAGGCATATTTTATTTACATTTCATCTATAGATTTTCTTTTCTTTTTCAAATTTTCTAACTAAACACAAACTTTAGAAATTTAAAAAAAGAAATAAAAAACGATGTGAAACTATATAAAATTTAGATATATTTTATTTATAATTCACCTATCAATTTTATTTTCTTTTTCAATCCGTCTACCAAAACCAAACACAATAATACAGCTTGGTGGGACAGGTTGAACAGATCGGCATGGTTGGCGGTTTTACAAGCCAACCCTGGCTCAAAGCAACTCGACAGTTCGTTTTACGTCACACACTCACACTCACCCTATCACTTGGCGATTACTATGTTTTGATTGAGTGATTTGGAGAGAAAATAAAATAAATGAAGAGATATGTATTTCTCTTATTTGTTTGAATAACTTTAAGTAGAGATAAATGGAGAGAAACGGAGAGGAATTCATTTCTCTTATAACCCTCATTTTCAATCTTCTCAAAAGTGAAGAGATTAGGAAAGAAAAAAAAAAAAACAACAACAAATTCTTATATTTTCATAATATTAATTTTGTACATGTAAAAATAAAAGAAATAAAATGATTAACATCCATGTCCTCAAAATATAAAAGGTTATTTTGATAATATAACATAAAATAATTTATTTTCTTTTCTCTTATGAAATCTAACTAAACAATAAAGAAAAAAATTACAATCATTTCTTTTCTTTTATTTCTTACTTATCCAAATAAAAATGAGAGAAAAATAACTGAAGTATTTATTTTGGTAATATAACATAAAAATAACTGATCTAATAATGTATAAATTTTTTAATAATGCATTAAGTTCTAAGTTCTGTCATAAAATTATAATCATAATGAACAAAGATCGTCTTCTCAAATTTCATAAGTAAAGACAATAATTCAAAAGGTAGATATTCACAAAATGTTATTATCATTCAACTGATCTATTTTCTTTAAATAATAAACTTGATTTCTAACTAATGAAATAATACTAACAATAAATAAGATGTTTCTCAATAACCCTAATGTCTAAAACATATATATGCTAAAAAAGAATTAATAATAAACTGAATGCCATAAATCTATCTATCTATATTTGCTATGGGTTTATATATATTTTTAATTTATATATATATATATATATGGTTATAAATATTTGTGGGTTTGTAATTTTTTTATCATTTTATGCCAAATATATTTTTTATTTTTAAAAATATTAAAATTGAAAATTTCTATTTAATGTTTGAAGCTCTTGTAAAAAATAAAAATTCAAATAAAAAAAATCAAATTTTCAAATTAGATTTGTTTAGATAGACTTAAAAAATAATAATTAAAATTAGATATTGAGAGGTAAAATAAAGATTTTAATTGAACAGATAAGATCAAATTTGTTAATTAAGAAAGATTTTGATGGAAGCGGGATAGATCAAATTTGTTAACTTTATCTGTTTGTATATCAGATTTTGTTTGTTGTGTTTATTTTAAAAAAAAAATAGAAATTAGGAAAATTAGCAAAGGGGACTTGAGAGAATACTAGCAGGAAAGAAAGTGATTAAGAGTTAGTATTAAGGGTTTGGAGGCCTTTCATGTTCCATTATACATTCTTATAATATATAAGAAGATAAAAGAAAAGGAAGGGATTGAACATCTTATAAATATTTTATTTTTATTTTTTCATGTGTACCAAAATCACACGTTAATATAAGTAATTTTGTCTTTCTTATTTGGTCTTTAGTTTTTTTTTAATTATTTTTTATTATCCAAGATTAATGTTCTAACCATTTGTCTCACACAACCTCAAGCTAAAACTTTAGCAAAAAAGAAAAAACAATGGTGTGCTCATATCTATTGGATTAAGAAAAAATTGTGCCAAAAAAAATTGAAGTACAATTAAACAGTGAACACTCAAATGGAAAAGAGATTAGATAAAAGAGAGAGAATACATCGCCAGTACTCTCCACCTCATATACGCCATTTGTATGATTCAAGATTCTAGTTATACACACACACACAAAAATACAAAAAACAAAAACAAAAAAATAGAAAGAACGAAAAGGGCAACAAAAACAAAAGTGTCCTCTCTACATAGGAGTCTTTGATAAGTTTCTTGTTGACATATTGTTTTAAGACTCAAATTGGCCATATGTGCTTCCAAACTAAAATTTCTTCCTCATGGTAAAACTTTATAATTCCTCTATAAAAGCCATCTATTTGATCATTCTAGTTGTACGAGCACGAAATAATCTTTCGTATGATCTTATTGATGAAGTTTGCACTCGTTCAAACGTCGTCGCTTCGCCTCTTGAAAACACAAACGTGAGCTAACCGGCGGGTGTGTACCGGAAACCCCTCCGATGCCTAAGTCAGCAACTAGACAATAAGTTCTGTGTATTCTAGAGTAGAAATTGGGATACCTCTACATAGGTCTGGTCCTGAGCTTTTATAGACTCTGCTTGGCACATTCCTAGTAGGATTCCAACTCTCCCTATGAGAGTTCTCCTCGGAATCACACACCCTACTCACTACCAGCCAAGTGAGATGGTTTTGCACAATCCTAGTAGGACTCTACTCTCCTTAGCAGAGTCCTCCTAGAAGTCTCATCACTGCAAGCCAAGTGAGATGGCTAAACCACGATAGAATAACAGCACAATCGAGCTAACACTGGTCTTCTGACATACCTAGCTCGGTGTTCCCACGAGCAATGCCTAGCTCAGTCTTTATCCACCTATACCTCGGCTGACACCTTCACCTCGGCCGACCCCTTTTCCTCGGCTAACATTATGGTTAACCAAGTTATTTCGGCTCTGTGTTCAACTAAGTAATGGAATAGAAGTATTGACCGAGCTACACCTAGCTCGGTTCTCTATCTTACCAAATACCTCTGCCAACCCCTGGGCCTAGTATTAGGTAGCTCGATCAATGCCTTTGCCCAGTTTGGTGCTCAGATAAAAAGGGATCGAGCTACTCAACGTCCACACTCCGGCTCTTTAGTTTGGCCCACAACAGAAATCAAAGATGTCTTCTTGGCCTAAGACCGAGCTACACCAGCCCTTATCTCGGCCCATTACGCGGCCCAACTCCCAAAGAAGACTCTTCTTAGCTCGGCCCAATTTGTTTACAAATTACCCTCTCAATTGCCCCTTAATTCCATCTGCGTAGCATGATTGGGATTATTTTTCCTCCAATCAAGCTAAGAACGCCCCATTCTGCCGAGCAAAAAAATTTGTTCAGTTTCACAGCTTGTTCAGCCCCAATAAGCCTTGTCAGTTGCTCAACATGTCTCTCCACTAATCTGGTACGACGTCATTCCCAGGATACATGACATGCCGCCATTATCCTCGTTCTCCTGTTACCACCGTCATATACCTCCAAAATTTTGAACAACCCCTGCTTTTTTGCCTTCAACGTATATATCCTTCAAGTTTGTGACCGTACGGCGAGTCGCTCTTTCTGTGTCTTGCCAAGCAGACTATCTTGGTTTATACTAACCCTGTCAACCTTTTTTTGGCCGAGGTAACCATCATCCCGGCCAAAGAGTTGTTGGTCAAACCTGACAACCTGCTTTTGGCTGAGGTAACCATCATCCCGGCCATAACCTTCTTCAGCCTAGATCCTGATCTTGGCTGAAGAGAACAAAGTGTTGGTAATTCCGGCCAACCCTCTCCAGCCTAGATCCTGATCTCGGCTGAAGAGAACAAAATGTTAGTTATTCCTGCCAACCCTCTTCAGCCTAGATCCTGATCTCGGCTGAAGAGAACAAAATGTTGGTTATTCCTGCCAACCCTCTTCAGCCTAGATCCTGATCTCGGTTGAAGAGAATAAAATGTTGGTTTTTCCAGCCAACCCTCTCCAACCTAAATCCTGATCTCGGCTGAAGAGAGCTCAAAGTTGGTTATTCCTGCCAACTTTGAGCGAAGTGTTGGTTATTCTGGCCAACTTCCTGCAGCCTAGATCCTTATCTCGGCTTAGGAGAAGTGTTGGTTGTTCCAGCCAACCTCTCCAGCGCGGATCCTAATCTTGGCTGAAGAGAGCTCAAAGTTGGTTATTCCTGCCAACCTAGAGCGAAGTGTTTGGTTATTCCTGCCAAACGTCCTGCAACCTAGATCCTTGTCTTGGCTTAGGAGAAGTGTTGGTTTTTCCAGCCAACCTCTTCGGCGTGGATCCTAATCTCGGCTGAAGAGAGCTCAAAGTTGGTTATTCCGGCCAACTCTGAGTAAAGTGTTTGG